TTTCCTCAGACTCTTACCCTTTGGACCACAGGTGCGCTCCCCTCTGTTCTTTGTATCTACTCAGACTCTTACCCTCTGGACCACAGTCCTGTCATTATAGAGCTTCTTTTGGGCACTCTCTCTGTGCCAGTCGCTTTGTTGTCACTGCGCTCAACAGGTTATGGGCCCTGCGCTCTAGCGACTTTGCTCTACATTGCTTTATCGACACTTTCTGGTCTCCCATCTGCTGTGCCACTCCTTTCTGGCCACACCCCATTGCTGCCACATCTTCCCCATTGCTTTCCCTGCCTTTCCCATTGTCCCACATCGCTTCCAATACTATTCCCTGCTTGTGCCACTCGTGCCACACCATGTCTGACCCCTCATTCGCTCTCCCTTCTGTCTCCCCTCTCAATAATCGCAACTATCCTTCCTGGTCTAAGGAGATCAAGGCCTGGCTTCATCTCAAAGGCCTGTGGCTTCTGGTCTCTGGTGATGAGACAGCCCCTGTTGGCACGAAGGAGAAGCCTGCTGACCCAAAAGAGGTGGCAGAGTGGAAGAGGAATGCTCAGAAGGCTGCTGGTGCGCTCTTACTTTCAGTTGAGGAGCAGTTCAGAGGCGTCTTGGATGGCATTGAGGACGACCCCATTGCTATTTGGACTACACTGGAGGAGCAGTTCAACAAGAAGTCTGCTGGATTGCGTTTCAACACGATGGAAGACCTCTTCTCGATCAAGAAGCGCAACGATGAGTCTCTCCAGTCCCTCATTCATCGTGTCAATGAGTCTATGTGCGTCCTGAAGAATCTCCGCAACTCTGGCTTCGATCTCAAGAAGCAGGACAAGGAGCTCACTTGCATGGCCCTCTTGTGGTCTCTCCACTCTGAGTTTGACACCTTCTGCTCCTCTCTCAGTCTCATGGACATCTTGTCTCATTCCAAGCTCGAGGACGTGTTCAGGCGCGAGGATTTGAACCGTGCACGTTATTCTGATCCCACAGACTCTGCACAGGCCCTTGTGGCATCCTTTCCTTCATCCCCCTCCTCTTCCTCCACCTCCTACAGACGTTCCAGGCCACCCAGGAAGCAGTACAAGTGCGACTTCTGTGGTGCCACTGGCCACACTGATGATAGGTGCTTCAAGAGGATCAATGAGGAGCTGAAGAAGTCCAAGCCACAGCAGGCCCACTCGGTTCAGGCCCCTGAAGCCTCTGGTCCCATATAGTTTGCAGGCAATGCAAGTTTTCGTTCCCCTGCTCCATCCCCTTCATCCACAGCCCCCTTACTTGTCACTGACCTCGATTGGAATGCGGACACAGGTGCGACCTCTCATATGACACCCCATCGCCACTGGCTTCGCAACTATCATCCCTTCGTCGTCCCCATTCGTCTTGCAGACTCATCTGTCATCTACTCTGCTGGTGTTGGGACTGTGGTGTTCAATCCGGTTGTTGGAGGCAAGAGGGCACAGTCTGTGGAGTTCTCAAACGTCCTGCATGTCCCTGATCTCGGTTGTAATCTCCTGTCTGTGCTGTATTTGACTCAGCACAAGCACTTCTCTGTGCTAATAGAAGGATCTTCGATGCATTTCCCCTGGGACGGTGCAGTGTGGTTCATGGCGATTGTTTCTAATGGTTCCAACAATGCATATCTTCAAGGGACCACATCCACCGTTGTTTTGCAGTCTGCTGGTGCTGCTTCTACTCTCCCTCTTGACTTGTCCCTGTGGCATCGTCGTCTCTGCCACTACCACCATGCTGGAGTGCAGAAGATGGTGAAGGAACGACTCATTACTGGTCTACAGCTCGATTCGGACGTGCAGCCTGACCCTGTGTGCGAGCCCTGTCTCTTTGGCAAGATGCACGCTCACCCCTTCCCCTCCACTGGCTCTGTGACCTCCAAACCGCTTGAACTCATCCACTCTGATCTCCATGGTCCTCTCCTTATTGCCACTCACTCTGGAATGCGCTACTGGATCACCTTCATTGATGAGTTCACCAAGCTCAAGGTGGTCTATGTCCTGCACTTGAAGAGTGACACGTTTGAGGCTTTCAAGCGCTATAAGGCTTACGTGGAGAACCTAACTGGACAGCGCATTTTGGCTCTGCAGGATGATAAGGGAGGAGAGTACATGTCCAATGCCTGGGACTTGTTTTGTTTGGAGCATGGGATTGCTAGGAGGCACATGGCACGCAATTGGCCACAGCAGAACAGTGTGGCAGAGCATGCCAATCACATTATTATGGAGGCCCTCACTGCCATGCTCTCTGAATTGCATTTGCTGCTTGTTTTCTGGGGTGAGGCTCTGGCTGCTTATGTGCATGTCTGGAATTGACTCTGGACGTCTACCCTGAAGGGCAAGACGCTATTTGAGATGGTCCATGGGAAGAAGCCGGACGTTTTGCACTTGCAGGTCTAGGGCTGCTTGGCTTATGTGCATGTGCAGAGGGACAAAAAGGATGGATTTGGATTGCATATGGAGAAGTGCGTGTTTATTGGGTATCCTGATGGCTACAAGGCATGGAAGTTCTACAATCCTGCGACTCGGAAGGTCATTATTTCGGAAAGGGCAGACTTTGATGAGCGATTCTTTTCTGGCACTCGCAACTTGAATGCTAACACTCAGTCTGCCACCCCTCCTCCTTCATCTCTATTCAGTCTTTGGGATGCAGATGTTGATCCAGTGCCAGTTCTGGGGGGGAAGCAGATGCTCCTCCTCCTGCTGGTCACCTCAAAGATGCTCCCATCGATCGGGATCATCCTGTAGCAGACCCAGCACCTCCACCACCTCTTGCTCCTGTCGTTGTCCCTCCTGATGCTCCCCCTCCTGTCATTCCAGCGCTACCTCCTGCTCTCAGAACATGCTCTAGGAATCGCTCTGCCACCCCTGAACCAGGTCCATCTGTTACTCGATGCTCTACTCATACTCGTCGTGCTCCTGAGGAATGGTAGAAGGTTAGGACGCTGCCTGGAGACAATGATGCTCATTATGACACTGCTGGGGACGTCCCTGATGCTCCTAGAGAGGCAGAGATGGAACCCATTGTTAAGGACACATTTCTGGCTGAAGTCGAGCGTGCCCTATTCACCTCTGGTGCTGAAAAGGCTGAACCCTCAACGTATCGTCAGGCAATAAAGCGCCCTGATACAGATAAGTGGCAGAAGGCAGCAGAGGAAGAGATGAAGGCTCATGCTCGGAATTGCACCTGGGACATTGTTCCATTCCCTGAGGGCTCCAAGGCAATTGGTTCTCGTTGGGTTTTCAAGGTGAAGCACAATCGGATGGCTCTGTCGAGCGCTACAAGGCTTGTCTCGTCGCCAAGGGCTTCAGTCAGTGCCCTGGGTTTGATTACTTTGAGACATTTGCCCCCACAGCCAAGTTTGCAGCCATTCGTGCCATCCTTGCTCTCTCTGCCCTCGAGGACTTTCACCTGCGCTCTGTGGACATCTCCCATGCGTTTATCAATGGCGATCTGGATACTGTGGTGTACATGAAGCAGCCTGAACGATTTGAGCAGGGAGGTCCTGAGATGGTCTGTCGCTTGATGAAGGGCTTGTATGGGCTGAAGCAGGCAAGTCGGCTGTGGTACAAGAAGCTCAAGGTGGTACTGGAGCGCATGGGATTCAAGGCGATCTACTCTGACAACAGCATCTATATCTATGCCAAGGATCAGGTCAAGGTCATTCTGCCAGTCTTTGTGGATGACTGCACTTTTGCATTGAATTCCTTGTCTCTGCTCGATGATCTTGTCGTTGAGCTCTCTAGGTCGTTCAAGCTTCGCGATTTGGGACCCACCACCGCTCTTCTTGGGATAGAGATTGCGAGGGATCGCGCCCATCGTCGCTTGATGCTCTCCCAGTGCCAGTACATCCTAGACATGCTGGAGCGTTACGGACAGGCCGACTCGACCCCTGTGAAGACTCCCATGGTCCCTGGCACCAATCTCTCTGTCTCCATGGCTCTTGTATTGACTGAGGACAAGGAGTACATAAAGAAGGCTCCCTACATCTCTGCTGTCGGTTCATTGCTGTTCCTTGCACTCGCCACTCGTCCTGACATCGCCCACACGGTCTCTGTCCTATGCCGTTTCAACTCAAATCCTGGGATTGTGCACTGGAAGGCCGTAAAGCATTTGTTTCGCTATCTGAGAGGCACCCTGGATTATCGACTCGTCTATGGTCCCACCGACTCCAAGGAGCTCTTTACTTCGTTCTGTGATGCTGATCATGCAGGCAACCCAGACAATGGACGGTCCACTAGTGGATATGTGTTGCGCATTGGCTTTGGAGTGATCAGCTGGAGCTTCAAGCTTCAGGGACTCGTTGCACAGTCGACCACAGAGGCAGAATTCATTGCTGCCATTGATGCGGGCCGGGAGATTGTCTGGATGCGCAATTTGCTGACTGAACTTGGCTATTTTCTGTCTGAGCCATCAATTCTCCGTGTCAATAACCAGTCGGCTGTTGCAGTTAGCAAGAATCCAGAGCACCATGGGCGGATAAAGCATCTCGATCTTCGTTTCTTTTGGCTCAGGGACCAGGTAGAGGCTGGTGTGATTGTGCCAGCCTACGTTCCTACTGCAGACAACGCTGCAGACATCCTGACAAAGGCTGTTCCACCTGAGAAGGTAAAGATTTGCTATAGTTTGATGGGACTAGAGGATCTGCCGCATTAGGAAGGTGTTTTGGACACTGTAGAGGCGTGCAATCAGGAGGGTGTGTTGTTTTTGGCCGTTCTGGGTGATGTAGCAGCCATGCCACATGGGTGCCACCTTTAGGACTCATTGACAACTCGTCTCTACAGCTGGGAGCGGCCCTACAGCCGTTCCCAGAGCAGGTATATTGCTTTCTTTCTCCATTTGGACTGTCTCACTTTGTTTTTACTTTGTCTCACCTTGTTTCAGTTATTTTACCGGGTTAGCCGGCTGAGGCAGTCCTGTGTAATGTCATTGACACTCCGGACCGAGCTCCAGGTGGAGCTTTTGACCGCTTTGTAAGATGTTTCACCTGCAATGACCTGTTGATGTCATACCTTCCTTTTTCGTTTCTTATTGTTCTGTGTAACTTAAATACCCATGGTCTGAGGGTGATTCTTTCCTCAGACTCTTACCCTCTGGACCACAGGTGCGCTCCCCTCTGTTCTTTGTATCTACTCAGACTCTTACCCTCTGGACCACAGTCCTGTTGTTATAGAGCTTCTTTTTGGCACTCTCTCTGTGCCAGTCGCTTCTTTGTCACTGCGCTCAACAATAAATTGCCAAGGAGCATTGGTGGTTTCTAGGGGGTGAATAGGGGGTCATGTCCTATGTGTCAAGTTCTTCATGGATTGGCATGTAGCACATCCATCCACATAATCATAGACAAATTTGGTCATGTTTTGCCACTAATAGTGTCGTTGTACCATTTCTAAGGTTTTGGCTCTACCTGGATATCCTATGGCTGGTGTGTTGTGGTGTGTCTTGATGATGAGTCTTCGGATAGCGTCATCTTTAGGGACATATATGTAGCCATTTTGCCTAGTAATTCTGTCCTCATGTGTCCATTTTCCTAGATCTCCTTTTATTGCTTATGGGCCTTCTCATAGTAATTTTGTGAGAGCTATGCCTATCAAAGCATCATGTTCTGAATGCGAGTGTCGGATGAGGGAAATAAGGTCTAAGGATATGATTTCCATGGATTTTATGTGCATAGTTTGGTCCAGTTCCACTTCAGTTTCACTTGCCTTGTTGAAAAGTTTGGCTGGAAGTAGGATTTGGAATTTATTGTCAGATTCCACCCCCTCACTTAGATCTGGACACCTAGACAGAGCATCTGAATGATTGGTTAATCCTGCTTTATAGCTGAGTATAAAGTTGAATCTGCTTAAATAAAGGCTCCAATAGGCATGTCTTTATGACAGATCATGTGCTGTTTGGAAGTGTTCCAGGTTTTTATGGTCTGTCTAGATCTCGAAGGGATGTCATGCTCCTTCGAGGTAGTGGTTCCAATATTCCAAAGCTTTTATGATGGCCAAAAGTTCATGGTCATGGATGTTATAATTTTGTTTAGCTGGGGAGAATGATCTAGAGATGAATGTGACTGGGTGCCAATCACCATATTTTCCTTCTTGTAGGAGGGTAGCTCCATAGGCAATTAACAATGTGTCCATTACAAGTTAGTATGGGCATGTAAGATCCGGGTAATTTAGGATGGGTTGGCTAATGAAGGCTTTCTTTAATCATTCGAAAGCATCTTGGCATTTCTGAGTCCAGTTCCATTTTTTGTCTTACTTGGTGAGGTTGTGTAAGGAGCACGCAATGAGCAAAAATTTGTCAATGAAGTGCCTGTAAAAATTTCCTAAACCTAAGAAAGAGCAAATGTCTCAAACTATGTATGGATTGGCCAGTCTTTTATCGCATCCACCTTAGAATTCTCCATTGCAACATAGTCTTTTGAGATCATGTACCTCAGGTAGTTAAATTTCTCTTTATAGAACTCACACTTTTCTGGTTTTAGGTAAAGATCATTGTCATGTAGGATCTGGAAAACATGATTTAGGATGTGAATATGTTCCACTATGGATTTGGAAAAGATGAGGATATCATCCATATATACTATTATTTTTTGAGCCATAATGAGTTCTTGGAAAATCATGTTCATCATGGCCTAGAAGGTGGTGGGAGAGTTGGTTAAGCTAAAAAATATCACCATTGGTTCATATGAACCCAGGGGGGTGATGAATGTGGCCTTCCACTTGTCTCCTTCCTTAATGCATATATTATTGTATCCCCATCGCACATCCAGTTTGCTGAAAATTATGGCCCCTTTTATTACATCCAGTAGTTCCTTGTATTAATGGGAGACATTCAGAATGGTGTGTGAGTTCAGATGGTGGTAGTCCTGTATCGGCCGTAGTTTTCCATCTTTCTTTCCTATGAAGAAAAATGGGACAGCTGTAGGTGACATGGACCAGCGAATGGTTCCCCTTGCAAGGTGTTCCATGATGAACTTTCCTAGTTTATCATGCCTCTCAGGGCTCAAGGCATATATCTTGGGCGTCTGAGTTTTGAATGTGGGTTTTAGATCGAAGGCATGGCCCTAGTAGATGTGTTCCGGAAGTTGCTGCAATTTTTGTTCACTAAAGATGTCCAAGTATTTGTGATGCACTGATATGATAGAAGTGGCTCTGAGTGCCAAGCACAACACCAAAACAACCTCTTATGCAGGGAGTGCTAGAGCTAGTATCTAATACACAAGGAATCGTTAGTGATAGCTTGAGAAATCAATGACGTACTGGGAAGTAGCAAGGAGTATAGGATTATGGCACCTGAATGGTTTTAGGACTGCACCAAACACTGACCAAATGTTCGGTCAGTCATGTCAGCGATTCAGTTGGTAATGAGAAGATAGTGTTGTGGCCAACAGCTACATGCTTCAAGAGCCATACAGGACTCTGACAATATACAAAGGAGGGGGGAGATAAGAGGTACAAGCAAAGAGATGAGTACAAACATGAATAAGGCTAAACAACAAGGATGACAAGTTTTGGGAGTTGACAAAGACAATTTCAATGGTTGAGATGAGTGCAAATGAGCTCTGAACTGTGGGGTGCGAAAGCTGGTTTATTCTAGAGGTGTATGTAGGTTTTTATAGTAAACAGAGTCCTTAAGTAAAATATTGAACACGAAATAAGAGTAGATGTTAAATGGGCGCCAAGCCCTAGCAATTAGAGAAGATAAGAAGGTAGGTAAGATATCCATATGGGTTCCAAAGGTGATAAGGTAAAAGTTAATCAGCGATGGCAAAATTTTGAATATTTGGGATCCGTTGCCTAAGTGTAGGTAGTTAGAACAGGCATTGGCAAGCCAATGAAAATAAAGAAGATGTGATATATGACCAAGGTGGCCAAGTAAAATGGTGCAAGATTGTGTTTGACCGACCATATGAAAGTCAGGAAGATAAGTGATAAGAACTGACCAACTCATGGAAGACATTAGCTGACACGGAATACTAGCTCCAATCTTATAAACACCTATTGTAATACTCCTATGCAGTCATGATAAGTATGTGAAGTATGGGTAAACTGACCCAAGTGCTGCCGAACGTTCTTCAGTAGGTTATGGTTGGTCAGGTAGGGACCAACCATGGTTGGTGCAAGTTAGTGTCTTTGGTACTTGTCTAGTGCTGTTTGGTGTCTCCCCAAAGCTTTCTGAATACCTCCCTTAGACACTAGTGCATGCTCATTATCTCCCTACTGAAATCCTGATTGTCCTCGGTCAGTGGTTAGTGGCTATGAGTTGGAACAGAAAAAAGTGGCATGGAAAAAGTGGCATAGAAAAAGTGGCATGGAAAATAAGTGGTGATGTGGCAAGTTATGTGGGAAAATGATCGGTAAAGAGCAGTGGCATAGGAAGACTAGCTATGGTGTGCACAATAGTGATTGAAGCAGAGTTGGCAAAGTCCTGTGGCATAGAGACTGGGATAAAGGCATAGAAAAACTTGAGTGGGATCAGATTAGGTGAGTATATGGCTGAGGTATGGGAGTAGTGTGGCAAAAGGCGGTAAATCAGCAAAGAGCGATGGTATGGAAAGGCCCAGGTTAATGTGTGTAAGAGACCAAAGCAGTGCCAGCAAACTCTTGTGGCATGGCAACTGATTAGGTAAAGGGGTGGCTGAGTCCTAGTGCCCAAGCTAGATACTAGTATAAGAGTTGTGTTAGCAAAAAGCAGTGGTGCGTATTGTGGCCTTTGCCGAGTACAGTGGCACAGGGCTTTGTCAGGTGACCACAATCCCCTGCTAATTGTTGATTCTCCAGCAACTAAGTCCTTCATCGCCATCCTCCTGCCACTTTGTCTTCTTGTCCGATCCTTTTGGCCTTCCAACATGTCCTCTATCCTTTCTGTCCTTAAAACCAAGCTTAGAGAGTACATGCTTGCCCTTCCTAATAGTGCTGCCGAGGACAAAGATTATGAGGCCTAGGCACAGGGGTTTGCCAAACAAGTGGTAAGTCAGTCCATCCCTTTGCCTTCTATTGGCTGCTAACATCCTTGCAGGCTATTTTCGATTATTTGGCGTGTGGGCAGGACATGCCCAAACTCACAGCCTAGGTTGCCAAGGCTAACAGTGGCCTTGATCATGTTACCACTAATGACTGGCTTGCCTAGGGGTCGCGCATCTTGCTGTAGCATATAGCATGCTTTGCAGTGCAGAAATAGCAATAAATGGCTGAAGAACAGGCCCTGGCAGAGGAGGCTGTACAGGTTATTATTGCCAAATATGAGGCTAAAAAAGCCGAGGCAATGCAGGCTGCTACTACATATCGGTTGGCTGAAGAAAATCATCAGTGGCATTGGAAGGCCTTGGTGGAGGCCATATTCAATGGGTCACTTGATCCTAAACAGGGTAATTGTCAGCTGGCCAAGCTGGAGTCAGAGTTTACCTTTCCTAATCCTCTCTTCCTTTGCTCCCCTTTTCCTTCTGCCACTGTGTCCTTCTCTTGTCCCAATCTATCCACTGACTCCTCTTATCCTGACCCATCTGCCAATGATTTGGAGCTTGTATCCGTAAACAATGCCCTGGACCAAATGAGCATGGGCCTGGTCGCCACCACTGCCCTGACCAATGTGAAGGGTAAGCAATTGGCTGCTGCCATTGTCATCGAGTTCGCATTGATAAGCATTCACCCATGCTAGGGTCCGAGGAAGGTATTCGGGAAGCCTTGAGAAAATACCAAACAGTGCTAGACAAAGTACCAAAGACACCAACTATTACTAAACATGGTCGGTCCTCATCTAACCAACCATAACCCACCGAAGAATGTTCAGCAGCACTTTGTCAGTTCACCCATACTTCACATACTTACCATGACTGCATAGGAGTGTTACAATAAGTGTTTATAAAATTGGAGCCAGTATTTCATGTCAGCCAATGTCCTCTGTGAGTTGGTCGGTCCTTATTACTTATCTTTCCGGCTTCCACATGGTCGGTCAAATGCAATCTTGCACCATTACCTGGCCATCCTGGTCATACATTACATTTTCTTTATTTTCATTGGCTTGCCAATGCTTGTTCCTGCTACCTACACTTGAGCAATGGATCCCAAATGTTTGGGATTTTGCCATCGCTGATTAACTTTTACCTTATCACCTTTGGAACCCATATAGACATCTCACCTACCTTCTTATCTTCTTTGATCACTAGGGCTTGGCACCTATTTGACATCTACTCTCATTTTGTGTTTGATATTTTACTTAGGGGTACTGTTTACTATAAAACCCTACATACAACTCTGGAATAAACCAGCTTTTGCATCCCACAGTTTAGAGCTCATTCATACTCATCTCAACTATCGAAATCGTTTTTGTTGACTCCCAAAAACTTGTTATCCTTGTCATTTGGCCTTGTTTGCATTTATACTTGTCTCTTTGCTTATACCCCTTGTCTTCCCTTGTATATTATCAGAGTCCCGTGTGGCTCTGAAAGCACATAGTTGTTGGTCACAACACTACCTTTTTGTCACCAATTGCCTCCCTGACCTAACTCAACCAACCAAATGTTTGGTTGGTGTTCAGTGCAGTACTAAAACCATTTGGGCACTTTAATCTCACCCCCCTCATTACTCTTTAGTGCGCCCTCACTTTCTCAAGTCCTAATTAACAATTCCTTATATATTAGATACTAGATCCAGCACCCCCCTTGCATTAGAGGTTGTTTTGGTGTTGTGCTTGGCACTTAGAGCCACCTCTAGCATATCAGTGTGTCAACTGACACTGACTGCTAGATGTGTCGTGCTTCCTCTAGGTCCTGGCACAGGCTGAATGTTGTCTGTTTGGCCTCTCGTGGAGTAAAATGGAGCTGGTAAGTTGCTGCAGGATCCTCCGGGCTTGTTGCTGAATAATGTCCTCATAAGTTCCCTCCCTCTTGCCACCTTTTGTTACTTGCTGACCCTTCTTTCTTCTAGGCCAAATATATGTGCCATTAGTGTGCCACTAAGTTTACAACTATAGCTTTTTGGTGCTACATGAGGGCTAGCCAAGTTTCTTGTATGAAGTGCTCTAAGAAGCATAAAGGCTGTAGCTTCTAGCCCAGGTGGATGCTGAAGGACAAAGGGAAGTCAAAGGGAAAAGGAAAGTTAAAAGTGAAAGTGGCAAAAAAGTTGGGGGAGCCAGAACCATTGTGCCTAACTAAGAAGTATAAGGTTGAGGTACTCATCCCCAAATAATCTGTCAGCAAAAGTATCATATAGACCAAATGTGAGTAATTAGTTGGTTATTGCTGGGCTGTGAGCTTATCATATTGTCTAGATGTTTGGGTTTGGAAACCCATCCAGCATTTCCCAACCACCACCCATACTATCCTAGCCCCTTCCCATCCCTGTTCCTCTGCTGTCCCTACCCTGCCTGACTCCTCTCACCTATCTTTTGTCATCGTGCAAGGCATTGCATCAGAGCTTTGGTACCACATTACTATGGCCAAAGGTATGTGTGCCTCACTAGTACATTCGATCGTAATGTGGCAGGGTGAGTTGGAGGTTCTTGAGGCATGTTTGGGTGGATCGGCAGTTTTGGATGTGGTGTTGGTGGAAGACTCATTGGATGCCAAGGATTTGGGAATGTTGGTGTTGGGCAACTTTGTTCCCAATGTATAAAGTAGTTTTAAGGTGTCTGTAGTATAGTAAAATGTAAAATAACAGTGAAAGGACTGTCCTGAGATGAATGAGACATTTGGCAAAGACTAGAGGTGTCGTTTGGGAAATCAGTTGGTGAAATGACTGTGAATGTACTTGTAAGCAAAGCATTTGGCAAAAATGAAGAAAATAAATTGAAATATTAGGGGAAGCCTCAGTATGTCATCACAGGCATAAAACCCTATGGTTTTGTATAAATCAAAAGAAGTCTTCAATGCAGCTTGGTACTTGAATGAGTGATAGGGAAAATGAGTGCCAACTATTTGGTCGGCAATCAGTTGGTGGCAAAAGTACTAAGAGATGTGGAAATGATTGGGTGTCAGTCCATGTCTATGACAAATAAACGAAGATAAGGAATGGGTATATCTGTGAATCCTCCTCCCTACTAAAATTGTGACTGTCCCCAGTCACTGACCAAAGAGAGCAAAGGGTAGAAGGGTGGGATCTAGTTAGAGGTTGCTGAAGCCACATTATTGTCTTTTGCCGATTGGACTAAGCTAGTGTCAGTATCTTTATTAGCACTATTGTCTTCGGCATCATCATTGATCAATTGGGAATCTTCCATAGCCCAAAGGCATTCCTGCAAGATGTCGAAGAGAGCTTCAAGGTCGGTGAGCTTCAGAGACCTACAAGCAAATAAGGAATAACACGGAATGCTGCAACTGGCTGATCAAAGACCAATCCATCGAGTTCGGCCAAAATATACACTCCTCTCCAATTCCTAGAAATTACTAGCAAAGGACCTAAATACCATAGATGCATCTTCCAATTGAGCACCTTTTCTATGGCTGTGTTGTGCATCAGGACAAGTGAGCATCAGTGAAAATTGAAGTTGTGAAGGATGGCCGAATGCTACTGTTTGAATTGTATGGTGGCCTAGACACGGGCGCCAACTACCAAGCTGCAAAGGTAGGCAAGGTCCAATTAGCATTTTTGCAAAGTGATGGCACATCAAGCAATGATGTTGATGGTGCTGAGAGTCATGGTTGGTAGTAGTAGAAGATAGGTGGCTTCAGCAATGTCAAGGGGAAGGAGAAGATGGGTGCTGGTAGCTGCAAAATATAGGGAACAACCCATTTGGTGCTGAACAGTAATACAATCAGCCCAGAATACAAAATAAGCAGCACAATTCCACTTGGCCTAGTCTCCATCAACAGCCTTGAACAGAGCCTGCCAAATATCGAAGTAAGGTTGTTTGGCAATGCCATTTATATGGGAATTGTAGCTGGAAATGCAAATGTGCCAAACATGGTACTTCTTTGCTAGCTGGTTGAGTGCTTTGACAAATGCTAGCCCATTATTAAAGACTATCTCTACCAGTGTTCCCCATCGGCATAGGATATCCTCAAAGATCCAGCTAAGCTTGTTTCACATTGTAGCATCTGGAATTTGGGGTAGTGTGATACCACACAGTGGCCTTGAATGAGATACTTAAAACCACTGGCAGTTGGTATGTGCATAGTTTCCATATACATTTTTGTGAAGAGTGGTGTAGGCGTTGCGACAGTTGGGGGAATGAGGATGTTGCGAGTTTGGTGAATCTGGCAAAGGTGACATGTCCAAACAAACCAGGAAATATCTCGCCTCATATACGGCCACCAAAAGTGTTTGGCAATCAAGGCAGTTGTGGTATAGAAACTCTTGTGAGCAACATTGTCGTGGGCGGCAGTGAGAATTGTGATCTAACTAGAGGGGGCTGCAACCATCTTGTGTCGACTATGTGAGTCTTTTATCCATAGCTTGTCGGCTGCAATGAAGAACTCAGTGCAATATTGCAGGAAAGTCGCATATTCAGAGTCGGAAAGAGAAGGGGGCCAAACCAATGTTCAGTGCCAGTCATAGACCAACCATAGGCATTCTTTGGCTTCCAAAGCTTTCTACAATCTTAGGATATCTGAATTGTCAATGGTTGGGCCTTCATCATTAGAGTTAGCATTGGTTGGGAGGTCGCCTATGAGTGAGAAGGTAAAGATGGCGGTTGTCGAGGTTGAGTTGGTGGTGGGGAATATGTTGTTGATCTGATGGAGGAAGCCATAGAGATTGTCAATCTAGTCATCAAAGTTGTCTTTAGGTTTGGGTCAATTAGTGGGTTGTGGTAGTTATCGGGAGAGACCATCAGGGCTGTGAGAGATGCCAGGGACATGGAAAAGTGTGAAATAGAAGGTGAGGATAGAGATGATTTACCAATTGATGCTGGCGCTGGGTTCAAGATCTGGATTAGTGAGCATGCCCTTGATATAGTGTGTGTCTACTTCAACTATCAGGTTCCAAACACTAATGAGGTACATTTTGAGTGATTGGAGGGCATGAAGAGGCCATAGAGTTTGAGCTTAGGTTGGGAGAATCACAATTTGCAGTCATTTAGGGTGATGGAGCTGAATCGGGCATAGTACCAAACCCATGAATTGTTAAGTGCGCACTGACAGAGATGGAAGCCAACCGCAATTTGTGAGGTATTGATGGTAAGGATGACATTGGCTGCCAACCCATAGTCGATCAGTCAAAAGGCTGGCAATTCAAGAAGTGCTGACTGGAGGTCATCCTGGGCCACTATCTAGTCTGGGCCAAACACAAATGGAAAATCTTTGCATGTTAACATAGTCAGTACATATGCCCTGTATGCAAAATTCCAAATAAAGATCCAAACAACCCTGATCATTCCCAAAAATGCCCAAACATCGGAGAGATCCCTGCACGGTCCTCACTTCATAATCAATTTTACCCTAGACTTGTTGGGAAACCTTCCTTTATATATGCAGCAATGACCTACGACTGTGATTTTGGCTGCACAGAGTGTTGCCTTGTGTTCTGAAAATGTTCCTCCACTATACTTCATCTGCTGAACCACCTGATTGAGGCCTTGAAAGTGCTCCCATACAAACCATCATATGCTGGGGTTGTCAGCATCTGGAAAAACACCCCCTTGTATTAGCTGCAGATTATATCTAATAGTGTCTAAAAGTATCTAAAAGTGTTAATAGTATCTAAAAGTGTCTAATTTCCTAATTGGGAGCAACACATTGTGAGCATTGGATTGGTTTCTAATTTCATGATATTAGCACTAATTCTATACTAAGAAGTCTTTGGTTATCAGTAGGAAATAGTAAGTACTACTGCTCTATCAGTGAGAAGGTAAAGATGTGGCACATTCTATACTATTTCAGCATATTACTCTCCTTCATATATGCCTATACCATGATCTTGTAGCTCTTTTGCTGACTTTCCAGCTGCTTTTATAAGGGATATAGAAAGAGAGAAATGTGCATTGATGCCCCCAGTCACTTTGTTGGCAGCTTGGCAGCTGCCACAAGAGGCTATGAAGACCTAGGTACCTTGGCCTTGCACATAAGATCATTAAAGTTGTCATTGTTAGCCAATGCCTGCTACTGGTCATTATAGGACACAACATGTGGGTTAGACTTAGGGATATGCTATATGCAGCCTTGTAGACCTTGTCTATTAGTATAGTGGTTAATACTGTCTTATGCAGCACACAATCATCATCACTATTGATATTATAATTTTTTAGCACTATTTATATTGTTTATTGCCTTGTTATACAGAAGATGTTCAAACTTGGTGTTTTCCTCTAGCTATTAGGCTGTGGAAAAGACAGTCATATTAGTATGTGGTGCCAGAATGATATATTTGCCTGCCATATAGGAAATATATGCATTAAGCATATTAAGATCACCTCCAACAATCTTGTGCTTATTTATATATAGGCATGCCATATATATATACTCTTGTCCCTACCCTTTACCTCACTAGTGGCTATTTGGAAAACCCCTCTCTCTTTATTAGATCTTGATTATTCATAATCATGTTTTTGATCAAATTTGCAAATAAAGGTAGTATTGTCTATATTAGTAGAGTCCCATTGAATATTACACTCAATCATAGTTTTACACATTCTCAGTCCAAATTGTGTAAGTGCCATAATTTATTTTTATCCTATATAAAGTGTATTATTGATTTTCCATTGGTTTATTATCTTCTTAGCTGGTGTTTAAACTAAATCCTGAAAGACCTGACTTTTTAGGTATTCATTGACCTATTTATTTATAAGATAGAGAAAAGATAAATGTTGAATAAAATCAGAGATGTTGAGGTTGCCTATATTATGTCTACTTATTTAGATTGCCAAGTTTATATCTTAGACCTTGTGGCTTAGTGGCTTAGAGCATCTGTCCCGAGTGCTTGCATACATGAGGTTATTGGTTCAACTCTGGCAGAAGGCAAGTTTGTTATAAGGTATATTCTGTGTTTAGGTATTGAACTAGTGCTCTAATAGACATGACTCTATAAGAAGGCTATGAGAACTATGATGCTTGATTTATTATGATTTTTCCGAAATTTCAAGTTATAATGAATCCTAATAATTCCTAATTTAGGAAAATTATGTCTAATTAGAACAGGTTTAAAGGGGGAGTAAGCTAAAAATGTCTAATCCTAATCATTCTTAATTATGCATAAATAGAACTAATTAGAGCTTAATACAAAGGGGTGGTTTTCCAGATGAGGATGTGCTCCGAAGCTGCTGTTCAGAAGTTCATATCAGGTTGGTAGGCCCGGAATTGGGACATTGTCAATAAAAGGAATGGTAGTGTCTGGGATCTCTGGCTGGAGGATGTGGGTAATGTCGTCATGGAAGATCAGGACCAAATTTGTCCATCCTATAGGCAGAGTGACAAGTTGGTGGGCACTAAACAGGGTCTGGAATGTAGTAAAGTTGCAAGATAATTCAGTGAGCCCTTGTTTGTCATATCCAACATAGAGATCCAGAATGCCACCACAAGCGCAAGCTGCAAACTATTCAGTGATCTGATCGGTATATGGGGGCATACTTGAATGCTAGATGGTAACTGCATCCAGAGGTTTGAGGCTGTGAACAATTCAGAGTTTGGTGCCAGTGAAGGTGTTATTTGTCTTTTTGATGACCATAAATTAGCACGATCAGTGAGAAGAATTCGACGGCTCATAGACTCTAGCGGCAATCTGGGTTTTGATAAGCCAGCACACTTTATCATAAATGCCTAGTGGAATCAGAATATTGTGTTGAACCTAGGGCTTGTGTTCGACCACTGGCATATTGACTGGAGGAAAGAAGTCTTTGCAGAAACGTCCACATTCTCAATTGTCCCAGGCAAATCCCATCTCTTGTAGACACATAAAATGGTGCATGAGCTGTTATTTGGCCAGCCAAAGGAAGTCATCTGAGTGAACTTTGTCGATGAGGTCACATTGTTTGGCTATATATCTACTGGTCAGCATGAAGGGTGGGGGGTTTGGTATCAGCTTTAGAAGAGTAGTGAGAGGATTACCAAAGATGTTCCAAATGATTCAGAACTTTTTGGGGAGGTCAGCCAAGACCAGTCATGTTTTCTATATGACTGGTTTATACTTGTGCTTGGCAGTGAAGATGGCAACCTGGTTGGTGATATTAGTAGAATGGAAAGATTCAGGGATAACTGAGGAAAATAAGGACAACATATCAGAATCAGGATTATTTTTGAGATGATTTTTGGGCCCCAAATTAGAGGCCATAATGTACTTGAGACAAAAATCACAACAAGAGGGAAATGGAAAATAAAAATCTGAGGATGCTTCAATAAGTAGGAAATTGGGGGTATCATGATCGGTAGAAATGATCAGTGCAACTTCTTCTTGATCCTAGATCAATTTATTGAATCACAAAAACCCACTTGTCTTCGGTGCAGAACTTGAGGGAGCCCTTACCGGATTGTCAAAATGGTGGCTTGTTGTTCTATGTTTGGGTTGCTGATGGTGATCATCTGGTCTTTGTTTGAATAATTTTTAATGATACTTTTGGTAAGGATGTCGAAAGGCCAACTGAGGAGAATATTATAGGCTGGGTTCCTGATAATGTGGACTTATAGGTACAGGGTAATGTCACCAATGAGGAATAGAAGATTGCATGCCAGGCCCAAGGATCGGTCAATTTTACCATTCGCCGACTGCATATTAAGGACAATTTCAGGATCATAGATGAGCGCTAGTTTGTTACAAATGCCTTCTGACATGGCGATGACTTGTGAACCCAGATCCCAGGCTATAGATTCTTCAGATATATTCCATATGTATTAGGGATGATGATTGCACCAGATAGAGGTGTTTCTGGCTAGTGCAGGACATTGACAAAGGAGAAGACAGTCGGTTGAGTTAGTGGTTCAAGATCATCGATGGTGTAAGGTAGATTGGCATCTTGGTAGAAGGTCTGAACATTGCTGGCGTCTTTGGTAGGTGATCAGCATGCCAACGTGGACTTTGGCGGAGAGAGAGAGTAGTTTGTGCTAGGTGAGCATCACCTGAGTGGCCATCATCCTGTTGTAGACCTCAGCTACTACCTTCTCATCGTAGATCGGCACCATAGTCTTGTAGGCTGGAGCTGTTGTTTGTGGCCATTCTAGTTGGTGTAGCATTCATGCCACATGGGTGCCACCTTTGGGACTCATTGATTACTCGCCTCTACAGCTGGAAGCGGCCCTACAGCCGTTCCCAGAGCAGGTATATTGCTTTCTTTCTCCATTTGGACTGTCTCACCTTGTTTTCACCTTGTCTCACCTTGTTTCAGTTGTTTCACCGGGTTAGCCGGCTGAGGCGGTCCTGTGTGATGTTATTGACACTCCGGACCGACCTCCAGGTGGAGCTTTTGACCGCTTTGTAAGATGTTTCACCTGTAATGGCCCGTTGATGTCATACCTTCCTATTTCGTTTCTTATTGTTCTGTGTAGCTTAAATACCCATGGTCCGAGGGTAATTCTTTCCTCAGACTCTTACCCTTTGGACCACAGGTGCGCTCCCCTCTGTTCTTTGTATCTACTCAGACTCTTACCCTCTGGACCACAGTCCTGTTGTTATAGAGCTTCTTTTTGGCACTCTCTCTGTGCCAGTCGCTTCGTTGTCACTGCGCTCAACAGGTTATGGGCCCTGCGCTCTAGCGACTTTGCTCTACATCGTTTTATCCACACTTTCTGGTCTCCCATCTGCTGTGCCACTCCTTTCTGGCCACACCCCATTGCTGCCACATCTTCCCCATTGCCTTCCCTGCCTTTCCCATCGTCCCACATCGCTTCCAACACCTTTCCCTCCTTGTGCCACTCATGCCACACCATGTCTGACCCCTCATTCGCTCTCCCTTCTGTCTCCCCTCTCAATAATCGCAACTATCCTTCCTGGTCTAAGGAGATCAAGGCCTGGCTTCGTCTCAAAGGCCTGTGGCTTCTGGTCTCTGGTGATGAGACAGCCCCTGTTGGCACGAAGGAGAAGCCTGCTGACCCAAAAGAGGTGGCAGAGTGGAAGAGGAATGCTCAGAAGGCTGCTGGTGCGCTCTTACTTTCAATTGAGGAGCAGTTCAGAGGCGTCTTGGATGGCATTGAGGACGACCCCATTGCCATTTGGACCAAACTGGAGGAGCAGTTCAACAAGAAGTCTGCTGGATCGCGTTTCAACGCAATGGAGGACCTCTTCTCGATCAAGAAGCGCAACGATGAGTCCCTCCAGTCCCTCATTCATCGTGTCGACGAGTCTATGCGCGTCTTGAAGAACCTCCGCGACTCTGGCTTTGATCTCAAGAAGCAGGACGAGGAGCTCACTTGCATGGCCCTCTTGTGGTCTCTTCCCTCCGAGTTTGACACCTTCCGCTCCTCCCTCAGTCTCATGGACGTCTTGTCTCGCTCCAAGCTCGAGGACGCGTTCAGGCGCGAGGATTTGAATCGTGCGCGTCGTTCGGATCCCACAGACTCTGCACAGGCCCTTGTGGCATCCTTTCCTTCGTCCTCCACCTCTTCCTCCACCTCCTACAGACGTTCTAGGCCACCCAGGAAGCAGTACAAGTGCGACTTCTGTGGTGCCACTGGCCACACTGATGACAGGTGCTTCAAGAGGATCAATGAGGAGCTGAAGAAGTCCAAGCCACAGCAGGCCCACTCGGTTCGGGCCCCTGAAGCCTCTGGTCCCATGCAGTTTGCAGGCAATGCAAGTTTTCGTTCCCCTGCTCCATCCCCTTCGTCCACAGTCCCCTCACTCGTCACTGACCTCGATTGGAATGCGGACACAGGTGCGACCTCTCATATGACGCCCCATCGCCACTGGCTTCGCAACTATCGTCCCTTTGTCGTCCCTATTCGTCTTGCAGACTCGTCTGTCATCTATTCTGCTGGTGTTGGGACTGTGGTGTTCAATCCGGTCGTTGGAGGCAAGAGGGCGCAGTCTGTGGAGTTCTCAAACGTCCTGCATGTCCCTGATCTCGGTTGTAATCTCCTGTCTGTGCTGTATTTGACTCAGCACAAGCACTTCTCTGTGCTAATAGAAGGATCTTCGATGCATTTCTCCCGGGATGGTGCAGTGTGGTTCATGGCGATTGTTCCTAATGGTTCCAACAACGCATATCTTCAAGGCACCACATCCACCGTTGTTTTGCAGTCTGCTGGTGCCGCTTCCACTCTCCCTCTTGACTTGTCCCTGTGGCATCGTCGTCTCTGCCACCACCACCATGTTGGAGTGCAGAAGATGGTGAAGGAACAACTCGTTACTGGTCTACAGCTCGATTCGGACATGCAGCCTGACTCTGTGTGCGAACCCTGTCTCTCTGGCAAGATGCACGCTCACCCCTTCCCCTCCACTGGCTCTGTGACTTCCAAACCGCTTGAACTCGTCCACTCTGATCTCCACGGTCCTCTCCCTGTTGCCACTCACTCTGGAATGCGCTACTGGATTACCTTCATTGATGAGTTCACCAAGCTCAAGGTGGTCTAAGTCCTGCGCTTGAAGAGCGACGCGTTTGAGGCTTTCAAGCGCTACAAGGCCTATGTGGAGAACCTGACTGGAGAGCGCATTTTGGCTTTGCAGGATGACAAGGGAGGAGAGTACATGTCCAATGTCTGGGACTTGTTTTGTTTGGAGCATGGGATCGCTAGGAGGCACACGGCGCGCAATCGGCCACAGCAGAATGGCGTGGCAGAGCGTGCCAATCGCACTATTATGGAGGCCCCCACTGCTATGCTCTCTGAATCGCATTTGCCACTTGTTTTCTGGGGCGAGGCTCTGGCCGCTTATGTGCACGTCTGGAATCGACTCTGGACGTCCACCCTGAAGGGCAAGACGCCATTTGAGATGGTCCATGGGAAGAAGCCGGACGTTTCGCACTTGCGGGTCTGGGGCTGCTTGGCTTATGTGCATGTGCCACCCCTCCTCCTTCGTCTCTGTTCAGTCTTTGGGATGCAGATGTGGATCCGGTGGCGGTTCTGGGGGGGGGGAAGCAGATGCTCCTCCTCATGCTGGTCACCTCGAAGACGCTCCCATCGATCAGGATCATCCTGTGGCAGACCCAGAACCTCCTTCACCTCTTGCTCCTGTCGTTGTCCCTCCTGATGCTCCCCCTCCTGTCATTCCAGCGCCACCTCCTGCTCTTAGAACACGCTCTAGGAATCGCTCTGCCACCCCTGAACCAGGTCCATCTGTTACTCGACGCTCCACTTGTACTCGTCGCACTCCTGGGGAATGGTGGAAGGTTAGGACGCTGCCTGGAGACAATGATGCTCATTCGGACACTGCTGAGGACGTCCTTGACGCTTCTGGAGAGGCAGAGATGGAACCCATTGTTGAGGATGCATTTCTGGCTGAAGTCGAGCGTGCCCTGTTCACCTCTGGTGTTGAAAAGGCTAAGCCCTCGACGTATCGTCAGGCAATGAAGCGCCCTGATGCCGATCAGTGGCAGAAGGCAGCAGAGGAAGAGATGGAGGCTCATGCTCGGAATCGCACCTGGGACATTGTTTCACTCCCTGAGGGCTGCAAGGCGATCAGCTCTCGTTGGGTTTTCAAGGTGAAGCACAACACGGATGGCTCTGTCGAGCGCTACAAGGCTCGTCTCGTCGCCAAGGGCTTCAGTCAGCGCCCTGGGTTTGATTACTTCGAGACATTCGCCCCCACAGCCAAGTTTGCAGCCATTCGCGCCATCCTTGCTCTCTCTGCCCTCGAGGACTTTCACCTGCGCTCTGTCGACATCTCCCATGCGTTCATCAATGGCGATCTGGACACTGTGGTGTACATGGAGCAGCCTGAAGGATTTGAGCAGGGAGGTCCTGAGATGGTCTGCCGCTTGATGAAGGGCTTGTATGGGTTGAAGCAGGCGAGTCGGCTGTGGTACAAGAAGCTCAAGGCGGTATTGGAGCGCATGGGATTCAAGGCGATCTACTCTGACAACAGCATCTATGTCTACACCAAGGATCAGGTCAAGGTCATTCTGCCTGTCTTTGTGGATGACTGCACTTTTGCGTCGAATTCCTTGTCCCTGCTCGATGATCTTGTCGTTGAGCTCTCTAGGTCGTTCAAGCTTCGCGATTTGGGGCCCACTACCGCTCTTCTTGGGATAGAGATTGCCAGGGATCGCCCTAATCGTCGCCTGATGCTCTCCCAGTGCCAGTACATCCTAGACATGCTGGAGCGTTACGGACAGGCCGACTCGACCCCTGTGAAGACTCCCATGGTCCCTGGCACCAATCTCTCTGTCTCCATGGCTCCTGTATCGACTGAGGACAAAGAGTACATGAAGAAGGTTCCCTACATCTCTGCTGTCGGTTCCCTTCTGTTCCTTGCACTCGCCACTCGTCCTGACATCGCCCACACGGTCTCTGTCCTATGCCGTTTCAACTCGAATCCTGGGATTGCGCACTGGAAGGCTGTGAAGCATCTGTTTCGCTATCTGAGAGGCACCCTGGATTATCGACTTGTCTATGGTCCCACCGACTCCAAGGAGCTCTTTACCTCGTTCTGTGATGCTGATCATGCAGGCAACCCAGACAACGGACGGTCCACGAGTGGATATGTGTTGCGCATTGGCTCTGGAGCGATCAGCTGGAGCTCTAAGCTTCAGGGACTCGTTGCACAGTCGACTACAGAGGCAGAATTCATTGCTGCCATTGATGCGGGCCGGGAGATTGTCTGGATGCGCAATTTGCTGACTGAACTTGGCTATTTTCTGTCTGAGCCATCAATTCTCCGTGTCAATAACCAGTCGGCTGTTGCAGTTAGCAAGAATCCAGAGCACCATGGGCGCATGAAGCATCTCGATCTTCGATTCTTTTGGCTCAGGGACCAGGTAGAGGCTGGTGTGATTGCGCCAGCCTACGTTCCTACTGCGGACAACGCTGCAGACATCCTGACGAAGGCTGTTCCACCTGAGAAGGTGAAGATTTGCTGCGGCCTGATGGGACTAGAGGATCTGCCGCATTAGGAGGGTGTTTTGGACGCTGTAGAGGCGTGCAATCAGGAGGGTGTGTTGTTTTTGGCCGTTCTGGTTGATGTGGCATGGATGCCACATGGGTGCCCCCATTGGGACTCATTGATTACTCGCCTCTACAGCTGGGAGCGGCCCTACAGCCGCTCCCAGAGCGGGTATATTGCTTTCTTTCTCCATTTGGACTGTCTCACCTTGTTTTCACCTTGTCGCACCTTGTTTCAGTTGTTTCACCGGGTTAGCCGGCTGAGGCGGTCCGGTGTGATGTCATTGACACTCCGGACCGAGCTCCAGATGGAGCTTTTGACCGCTTTGTAAGATGTTTCACATGTAATGACCCGTTGATGTCATACCTTCCTATTTCGTTTCTTATTGTTCTGTGTAGCTTAAATACCCGTGGTCCGAGGGCGATTCTTTCCTCAGACTCTTACCCTCTGGACCACAGGTGCGCTCCCCTCTGTTCTTTGTATCTACTCAGACTCTTACCCTCTGGACCACAGTCCTGTCGTTATAGAGCTTCTTTTTGGCACTCTCTCTGTGCCAGTCGCTTCATTGTCACTGCGTTCAACATCCAGTGCGCAATCCCAGAATTCGAGTTGAAACGGCATAGGACAGAGACCGTATGGGCGATGTCAGGACGAGTGGCGAGTGCAAGGAACAGAAGGGAACCGACAGCAGAGATGTAGGGAACCTTCTTCATGTACTCTTTGTCCTCAGTCGATACAGGAGCCATGGAGACAGAGAGATTGGTGCCAGGGACCATGGGAGTCTTCACAGGGGTCGAGTCGGCCTGTCCGTAACGCTCCAGCATGTCTAGGATGTACTGGCACTGGGAGAGCATCAGGCGACGATTAGGGCGATCCCTGGCAATCTCTATCCCAAGAAGAGCGGTAGTGGGCCCCAAATCGCGAAGCTTGAACGACCTAGAGAGCTCAACGACAAGATCATCGAGCAGGGACAAGGAATTCGACGCAAAAGTGCAGTCATCCACAAAGACAGGCAGAATGACCTTGACCTGATCCTTGGTGTAGACATAGATGCTGTTGTCAGAGTAGATCGCCTTGAATCCCATGCGCTCCAATACCGCCTTGAGCTTCTTGTACCACAGCCGACTCGCCTGCTTCAACCCATACAAGCCCTTCATCAAGCGGCAGACCATCTCAGGACCTCCCTGCTCAAATCCTTCAGGCTGCTCCATGTACACCACAGTGTCCAGATCGCCATTGATGAACGCATGGGAGATGTCGACAGAGCGCAGGTGAAAGTCCTCGAGGGCAGAGAGAGCAAGGATGGCGCGAATGGCTGCAAACTTGGCTGTGGGGGCGAATGTCTCGAAGTAATCAAACCCAGGGCGCTGACTGAAGCCCTTGGCGACGAGACGAGCCTTGTAGCGCTCGACAGAGCCATCCGTGTTGTGCTTCACCTTGAAAACCCAACGAGAGCCGATCGCCTTGCAGCCCTCAGGGAGTGAAACAATGTCCCAGGTGCGATTCCGAGCATGAGCCTCCATCTCTTCCTCTGCCGCCTTCTGCCACTGATCTGCATCAGGGCGCTTCATTGCCTGACGATATGTCGAGGGCTCAGCCTTTTCAGCACCAGAGGTGAATAGGGCACGCTCGACTTCAGCCAGAAATGCGTCCTCAACAATGGGTTCCATCTCTGCCTCTCCAGAAGCATTAGGGGCGTCCTCAGGAGTGTCCGAATGAGCATCATTGTCTGCAGACAGTGTCCTAACCTTCCACCATTCCCCAGGAGCGCGACGAGTACGAGTGGAGCGTCGAGTAACAGATGGGCCTGGTTCAGGGGTAGCAGAGCGATTCCTGGAGCGCGTTCTAAGAGCAGGAGGTGGCGCTGGAATGACAGGAGGGGGAGCATCAGGAGGGACAATGGCAGGAGCAAGAGGTGGAGGAGGTGCTGGGTCTGCCACAGGATGATCCTGATCGATGGGAGCATCTTCGAGATGACCAGCAGGAGGAGGAGCATCTGCTTCCCCCCCCAGAACCGGCACCGGATCCATATCTGCATCCCAAAGACTGAACAGAGACGAAGGAGGAGGGGTGGCAGACTGGGTGTTAGCATCAAAGTTGCGAGTCCCAGGAAAGAATCGCTCATCAAAGTCTGCCCTTTCCGAAATGATGACCTTCCGAGTCGCAGGATTGTAGAACTTCCATGCCTTATAGCCCTCAGGATACCCAATAAACACGCACTTCTCCATATGCGATCCAAATCCATCCCTTTTGTCCCTCTGCACATGCACATAAGCCAGGCAGCCCCAGACCCGCAAGTGCGAAACGTCCGGCTTCTTCCCATGAACCATCTCAAATGGCGTCTTGCCCTTCAGTGTAGATGTCCAGAGTCGATTCCAGACGTGCACATAAGCGGCCAGAGCCTCGCCCCAGAAAACAAGCGGCAAATGCGATTCAGAGAGCATAGCAGTGAGGGCCTCCATGATAGTGCGATTGGCACGCTCTGCCACGCCGTTCTGCTGTGGCCGATTGCGCGCCGTGTGCCTCCTAGCGATCCCATGCTCCAAACAAAACGAGTCCCAGGCATTGGACATGTACTCTCCTCCCTTGTCATCCTGCAAAGCCAAAATGCGCTGTCCAGTCAGGTTCTCCACATAGGCCTTGTAGCGCTTGAAAGCCTCAAACGCGTCGCTCTTCAAGCGCAGGACATAGACCACCTTGAGCTTGGTGAACTCATCAATGAAGGTGATCCAGTAGCGCATTCCAGAGTGAGTGGCAACAGGGAGAGGACCATGGAGATCAGAGTGGACGAGTTGAAGCGGTTTGGAGGTCACAGAGCCAGTGGAGGGGAAGGGGTGAGCGTGCATCTTGCCAGAGAGACAGGGCTCGCACACAGGGTCAGGCTGCACGTCCGAATCGAGTTGTAGGCCTGTAACGAGACGTTCCTTGACCATCCTCTGCACTCCAGCATGGTGGTGGTGGCAGAGACGACGATGCCACAAGGACAAGTCAAGAGGGAGAGTAGAAGCGGCACCAGCAGACTGCAAAACAACGGTGGATGTGGTCCCTTGAAGATATGCGTTGTTGGAACCATCAGGAACGATTGCCATGAACCACACTGCACCATCCCGGGAGAAATGCATCGAAGATCCTTCTATTAGCACAGAAAAGTGCTTGTGCTGAGTCAAATACAGCACAGACAGGAGATTACAACCGAGATCAGGGACATGCAGGACGTTTGAGAACTCCACAGACTGCGCCCTCTTGCCTCCAACGACCGGATTGAACACCACAGTCCCAACACCAGCAGAATAGATGACAGACGAGTCTGCAAGACGAATAGGGACGACAAAGGGACGATAGTTGCGAAGCCAGTGGCGATGGGGCGTCATATGAGAGGTCGCACCTGTGTCCGCATTCCAATCGAGGTCAGTGACGAGTGAGGGGGCTGTGGATGAAGGGGATGGAGCAGGGGAACGAAAACTTGCATTGCCTGCAAACTGCATGGGACCAGAGGCTTCAGGGGCCTGAACCGAGTGGGCCTGCTGTGGCTTGGACTTCTTCAGCTCCTCATTGATCCTCTTGAAGCACCTGTCATCAGTGTGGCCAGTGGCACCACAGAAGTCGCACTTGTACTGCTTCCTGGGTGGCCTGGAACGTCTGTAGGAGGTGGAGGAAGAGGTGGAGGACGAAGGAAAGGATGCCACAAGGGCCTGTGCAGAGTCTGTGGGATCCGAACGACGCGCACGATTCAAATCCTCGCGCCTGAACGCGTCCTCGAGCTTGGAGCGAGACAAGACGTCCATGAGACTGAGGGAGGAGCGGAAGGTGTCAAACTCGGAGGGAAGAGACCACAAGAGGGCCATGCAAGTGAGCTCCTCGTCCTGCTTCTTGAGATCGAAGCCAGAGTCGCGGAGGTTCTTCAAGACGCGCATAGACTCGTCGACACGATGAATGAGGGACTGGAGGGACTCATCGTTGCGCTTCTTGATCGAAAAGAGGTCCTCCATCGCGTTGAAACGCGATCCAGCAGACTTCTTATTGAACTGCTCCTCTAGTTTGGTCCAAATGGCAATGGGGTCGTCTTCAATGCCATCCAAGACGCCTCTGAACTGCTCCTCAACTGATAGTAAGAGCGCACCAGCAGCCTTCTGAGCATTCCACTTCCACTCTGCCACCTCCCTTGCCTCAGCAGGCTTCTCCTTTGTGCCAACAGGGGCTGTCTCATCACCAGAGACGAGAAGCCACAGGCCTTTGAGACGAAGCCAGGCCTTGATCTCCTTGGACCAGGAAGGATAGTTGCGATTATTGAGAGGGGAGACAGAAGGGAGAGCGAATGAGGGGTCAGACATGGTGTGGCACGAGTGGCACAAGGAGGGAATGGTGTTGGAAGCGATGTGTGACGATGGGAAAGGCAGGGAAAGCAATGGGGAAGATGTGGCAGCAATGGGGTGTGGCCAGAAAGGAGTGGCACAGCAGATGGGAGACCAGAAAGTGTGGATAAAGCAATGTAGAGCAAAGTCGCTAGAGCGCAGGGCCCATAACCTGTTGAGCGCAGTGACAACGAAGCGACTGGCACAGAGAGAGTGCCAAAAAGAAGCTCTATAACGACAGGACTGTGGTCCAGAGGGTAAGAGTCTGAGTAGATACAAAGAACAGAGGGGAGCGCACCTGTGGTCCAGAGGGTAAGAGTCTGAGGAAAGAATCGCCCTCGGACCACGGGTATTTAAGCTACACAGAACAATAAGAAACGAAATAGGAAGGTATGACATCAACGGGTCATTACATGTGAAACATCTTACAAAGCGGTCAAAAGCTCCACCTGGAGCTCGGTCCGGAGTGTCAATAACATCACACCGGACCGCCTCAGCCGGCTAACCCGGTGAAACAACTGAAACAAGGTGAGACAAGGTGAAAACAAGGTGAGACAGTCCAAATGGAGAAAGAAAGCAATATACCCGCTCTGGGAGCGGCTGTAGGGCCGCTCCCAGCTGTAGAGGCGAGTAATCAATGAGTCCCAAAGGTGGCACCCATGTGGCATGGATGCTACATCACCCAGAACGGCCAAAAACAACAAAGGGAGAGCGAATGAGGGGTCAGACATGGTGTGGCATGAGTGGCACAAGGAGGGAAAGGTGTTGGAAGCGATGTGGGATGATGGGAAAGGCAGGGAAGGCAATGGGGAAGATGTGGCAGCAATGGGGTGTGGCCAGAAAGGAGTGGCACAGCAGATGGGAGACCAGAAAGTGTGGATAAAACGATGTAGAGCAAAGTCGCTAGAGCGCAGGGCCCATAACCTGTTGAGCGCAGTGACAACGAAGCGACTGGCACAGAGAGAGTGCCAAAAAGAAGCTCTATAACGACAGGACTGTGGTCCAGAGGGTAAGAGTCTGAGTAGATACAAAGAACAGAGGGGAGCGCACCTGTGGTCCAAAGGGTAAGAGTCTGAGGAAAGAATTACCCTCGGACCATGGGTATTTAAGCTACACAGAACAATAAGAAACGAAATAGGAAGGTATGACATCAACGGGCCATTACAGGTGAAACATCTTACAAAGCGGTCAAAAGCTCCACCTGGAGGTCGGTCCGGAGTGTCAATAACATCACACAGGACCGCCTCAGCCGGCTAACCCGGTGAAACAACTGAAACAAGGTGAGACAAAGTGAAAACAAAGTGAGACAGTCCAAATGGAGAAAGAAAGCAATATACCTGCTCTGGGAGTGGCTGTAGGGCCGCTCCCAGCTGTAGAGGCGAGTGATCAATGAGTCCCAAAGGTGGCACCCATGTGGCATCCATGCCACATCAACCAGAACGGCCAAAAACAACATTTTGAGCATTGGAAGCTTCTATACATATATTTACTTTAAAGGCTATCTTAACCCAACTTTCGATATTGTCCTCAGGTTGCATTTCTTTGTCATTGATTTCATCTGAATTAGTTTTATACCTATCTAATTCTGCTATAAAAAAAAACAGGCATTGATGTTATTTGTGGCCATTCTGGTTGATGTGGCATGGATGCCACATGCGTACCACCTTTGGGACTCATTGATTACTCGCCTCTACAGCTTGGAGCGGCCCTACAGCCGTTCCCAGAGCAGGTTTATTGCTTTTCTTCTCCATCTGGACTGTCTCACCTTGTTTTCACCTTGTCTCACCTTGTTTCAGTTGTTTCACCGGGTTAGCCGGCTGAGGCGGTCCTGTGTGATGTTATTGACACTCCGGACCGACCTCCAGGTGGAGCTTTTGACCGCTTTATAAGATGTTTCACCTGTAATGGCCCGTTGATGTCATACCTTCCTTTTTCGTTTCTTATTGTTCTGTGTAGTCTAAATACCCGTGGTCCGAGGGTAATTCTTTCCTCAGACTCTTACCCTCTGGACCACAGGTGCGCTCCCCTCTGTTCTTTGTATCTACTTAGACTCTTACCCTCTGGACCACAGTCCTGTCGTTATAGAGCTTCTTTTTGGCACTTTCTCTGTGCCAGTCACTTTTTTGTCACTGCGCTCAATACTTAGAGGATTTTCTAAATTGCTATTCTTTTTTAGCTACTACTATTATACTCCTATGCTCATCTTCTTTTGACTAGGAGGGAGATGGCTTGTGTTTTTCTATGAGCATATGCTTGTAAGCCCACTATTAGTCATCTATATTATCCATTGTGACACTTGACCAGTAATAATGGTATCCACTGAGAGTTGATGACCAAGGATATTATCTTATACTATAATATATATGCTATAGTGGGCACTGCCTAGTATTTATAATGATTATTACCAGCTTAGACTGACTATGGAGGTCCTGGTAGACTATAATCATAACAATATATAGTACTCTATAATTAGACAAGAATACTAACTTAAAAAAACCTTGTACTTTCTACAAAAAGTACTTTTATAGGGCCAACTAAGCTATGATACCTTGCCTTGAGCAAATTAATAGTATATGTTGGTTATATAGCATAATTACCTCATACTAAGCAAAAAGTTGAGTATATATCATTATAATAGTCACTAATAAGCATATTGCTAGCAAGCTAATCAATTTTAGTGTATTTTTTAAAAGAGCTATCTATAATATGTATTTATATATACCTCCTTCCATATAGTACTTTTAATGCCAACAATTTAGCAATATAGCTTTTATATGCCCTATAAAGGCAAATCCTATATGTATATATTATGTAAGATTTATAGGTAATTATAAGATGTCTGAATGTATTTTTTCATATTACATACAATGCTTAGAATGATACATATGCCTATTAATATGACAGTTATTTATGCTATCTTCTGGTATTTTGACTCTTAGCTTATTTTATGTCATAAACTATAGAATAGTAATTAAATAACCTTGTTTTCCCTTCACATCAAGTTGCTAAACTACTGCTAAACCACTACAAAATGCTAGAGGTCATCTACTTCTTAATTAATCTTACAAACCTATAAGAATGGAACATACTATGCCTTTAAAAGCCCTCACTTGCCATCAACTACTAGTAGGACTTTTATTATATAATATAGATCCCTATCTTTCATACTTATGCTTTTACATATAACAAGACCAAACATATTTGTAATATCATTCTTATTTGGTTATTAATACTAGCCAACTTATATACACTTATGCTTATACCCTCTCTAGATCTTATTAGTATCATACTTACTTTCTTATTCTATCTCTAGCCTATTATATTTTTAGCATCTATAATCCCTCTAGCTTAATTATTACTATTACTGCTCTTAGCAACATCCTATCTGCTATTTCACATATTAATGAATATGAGATTATACTTAATGGTGACTTTGACTTATATAATCCACTTTAGTCTGGTCTAAATTTTTCTGACTAGACTAAATATATAAATGCTATTGCCCTTATATCATTATTAACTGACTATTACCTTCTTTTATGTCTTTTTCTTATTACCTTGATATTTTATTCTGCTATATATCAAACCCATACTATTATTAACCTTATCTTTGCTATTGCTAATCTAGTGTAGGCAGTTACCTAATATATAACTAGTTTTGATCATAGCTTTGACTATTAGGCTATTAACACATATATTAATCTTAAGCTTATACATGAAATTCCTACCCCTTGGCAAGCCTTTGCAAAACATATTAAAGCCCAACTTGTATATAGCCTACTTCCAACTATAATGCTAAATCTAATCTTGATAAGGGTATTGATAGGCTCATATTTTTATTCTAGGGTTATATTGATACTAAAATCACAATATTATGCTCTAGCCCTCATAGTAACTGATAGTAGTCTTCAGAGCTCTTCTAACTCTTCTAAGAATATAAGACTACCCAATACCATGCTTGTAAGCTAGCCATCTTATTGGCCATACATGAGGTAGTATACCAAGCATAGAACCAATACTATAGTGCTATCTAATGCTAGAAATAGCAATACTAGTAGAAATGAGTTAAAGCAGCAACTAAGATGGGTATCTGGCAAGTTTATAATTACATGGCTAATACCTTTAGCAGTGTTAGACCTACATATATACCAGCTCTTTAAACTGCCACTAGACTAGCCTTTACAAATCACAACGAATTCTATGCCCTTCCAATAACCTTTTTTCCTCCTTCGCCTAGTGCTAATATAATTGATATTGAAGACTATGTCTATAATAAAAGCCTTTTATTCCCTATTACTATGGACAAAATTTTTACTGTTATTAGTGGCCTTAGCCTCTACAAAGCTCCTAGACTATTGGGTGTCTCTAATGGAGTAATCAAGTCTATGCTTGGCCTTGTGCTAGATCTTTTCATAATGATGGCAAATGCATCTCTTTATTTTGCTTATCACTCTATAGCATAGTAGTATCTTAAAACATTCACACTAAAAAGCCACACCACAATAACTCTTTGCTCCTTAAATTATATTGGCCTATTACATTGGAAGACATATTTGGCAAGATCATGGTATTTATAGTTACAAAACATCTCTCAAGCTATGCTAAATAGTTCAAACTGCTTTCTACATTCTATTTTAATGGCAGACTTGGCCAAACAACTATAGATATGGTACTTATTCTATGCCAATAAATTAAAGATGCTTGGCAAATATACTAGGTTACCTTGGCACTCTTTCTAGATATATTACAAGTGTTTCCAACAGTCTCTTATATATAACTTCTCCATAACCTTCATAAATATTATATCCCAAAGGACTTGGTCTTCTAGATAGCAAGCTTTTTCATAAACCATATTACATTCCTATATTTTGACAATTTTGCCTTAGACCCTATTGCTGCTTTCATAGATATTCTACAAAGATCTCCTCTTAGGACTGCATCCTAACACATGCTTCACACATAAACAGAAGGGAAGGTCAGGTGTTTCATTGGACTTAGACATTGATGACTAGGACTGTGACTTGACATAGGCTAGGCATGTGACTCAGGACATAGTCATGAGCTACATATATAACTCAGACTTGGACTGTCTACCACTTACATGCTGACATATGAATGCTTATAACATTATGGCTTATCTTTCTCTTGTCCTTCTATGTGGCTTATTAATATTGATCATGATCAAGTTTTATTTAATATTGCTGCAGACAGACATTTGATATACTTACTATACATGGTTACATCGAAGAGCCACAGATTTGAACTAACAACTGCAGATTACTTAGCATTTAGAAGCATGGACCATATCTCTGTCTGGCCCTAAATAGCATGTACTATATATAGAGGAGCTGAGCTTCTTAGAAGATTAGCTTGCTTACTTTGTATACATCTTGATCTTTGTATTGCATCTGGCATTTGGCCCCTTCAGCCTACACTTTATGAACTCTGTCAGATCTATTGAACCATACTCAGTCTAATGAAGCACTGGACTTATCTCAAAGCTCTTACCATTCTTTCCTATCTGCAATCTACCAGGGACTTGCCACTTACCAAGTCATTTATTGGAACTTATTGAAAGTCATCTGTTGTATTCTTATTGAAAGTCATCTGTTGTATTGGGGAAGATCTCCCAGTACCCAATGAACATTGCCCCATCATCAATCAATATCTCCTCCACTTATTCAAGGATTGGATTGACAGTAAATAAGACTTCCTAGTACAAGCCCAAAGACATGTAATAGTCTTTATCCATTAGGCCATAACTGTTAGCCCAGGGAACCCCTCTTAGTGTATCAAGTGCATATGATAAGCCTAGCAGCTTAACATCACCCCTATTCTCAATTTTTTACCTATTCTTTGTATCTAACCTACTTGAGCTAGTAAACAATATCAAAACCCAATGAAAACTAGTAGCTGGCTTTATTAATAATACTACCCTTCTTGTTAGCTCTCTTTTTATTCATGAAAATATATATACACTCTCTATTCTGGTATATTGGACTGTTGACTAGTTATATATGTGTTAATTTAATATAAAAATATTCTAATTGGTCTATTTTACTTGTCTATCTAAGAACCACATTCTGTTTTCTCTTGGTCCTTAATGATTATATTATTCTACCTTTACCCTTGGCTAAATATCTAGGCATTATTCTAGAAAATGATCTATAATAATGCAAATAAGTCAAAGTTGCCATTACATATGGCATAATAGCCACACTCTCTATTTTCTATCTTACATGTCATACTTTTGGCCTTTGACACTACTATATCTGCCAACTGTATATTAATGTTATTAATCTCCCAACTAGCTTATAGTATTGAGCACTAGTATAAACCAATTTAGGCGAAAGTAGACTAGTACCATTTTAAAGGCTCTATTAGTGTTGTATTGTGCCTATTACATATATAACAGCTCATGGTATGCCTTATTACTAGTATTTTTTATAATATAGCAACTAATATTCTCAAGTACTATACCTGTCTGTTTTCTTTGCACTTATATCTAAATAACCTAGCCTTTGCTACTATAGCTTGCCTTATCTTGCTAAGTACCAAGTATTATTCTTATGTATTTTTACTGATGAATTAGGACTAGTAGACACATTAGGGCTATAGCATATGCTTAGCCTGCCTATAGTTCCAAAATTGACTGCCTATATTACCTTAGATATCTAGTCTATTACACTGTATTTAAAGCAGAGCTTATAGGAGTCTTTTTAAGCCTTAATATTGTATCATGTAGAAAACCCTCTCCTCTTATTAAATTATAATCATATATAATTATCAATAATGCTAATCAGTACTAATTATGATGTATCTTATCTAATTATCATTAATTATAATCATGATCGAATCTACAAATCAACATAATGCTGTCTATACTACTAGAGTCTTATAAAAAAGCACATTTCTAATTGTTATTTTACATACCCAAATTTCAGATTGAGTGACTGTTATAAATATTTTCTTCTAATGTAGAGTATATTCTTAAAGTTTTGTTAGTTTTTGGCAGTAATATCTGGTAGCTAGACTCATATTCTAAAAGCCTTCTTTTGGGGGGTATTTATCAATTTACTTATAAATAAATAGAATATAAGATAAATATGGAATAAAACTAAATGTGTTGAGACTGTCCAAAATGTATTTATATATTTGAATTACCAAGGGTAAGTTAGACCTTATGATATAGTAGTTCAAAGTTTCTTGCTAA